AGGCGAAAAACGGCATATAACTCGGCGAATAGCTTTGTACTTCAAAAATACAAATATGGTTTTTTGCACACCAAGCCTCGTTTCCATGTTGAGCGAAGGCGCGGTTACTAAGTTTCGCAATTGGTATATATAGTACAATGTTGCATTGTTACATTGGTGAGATAGGCAGAGGGCGAAGAGAACACGTCTGAAATGTTAAATTCGAGACAAATATGGCTCTAACATTGCTAATGTCAAAGAACTCTATAATTAAAATAAAAATAGGCACGCTAAGCGTACATGTATCTGCTCGCAACAATCTCGTTCGGACAGCAAATGGACCATTTGGATTTGGCCATGTTTTTTATTTTCCCGTCTACTGGTGAATGGGGCTTGATAATTGCCTACACTATTTTTTACCATTCTTCAAACAATAGGAAATATGCTTAGTAATATGTAGTAATGTCAGTCATGATAGTAATATAGACGTGCTCTGTTTTGAGAGCTGGGAAGTTTCATTGGCTTTCCAGCCAATGCATTGGTTTGCGTTTCCTAGCTATATGCCATTGCATATGCACTTCACTTCTGCTTAGCCTCAGGGCTCTGTGTTTCATTAGCTCGTTTTTCCTTCATGAATTTATCAAATATTCTGTTTTTTGCTTACGCTGAGAGCTCCTATTTGACTGTTCAAGATTTAGAAGTACCTGATGCCAAAGTTGATACATAATGATACTCATCTACATGACCTAAATAAATATCTCAAATATATAAATATATATATATATATATATATATATATATATATATATATATATATATATATATAATTTTTTCTGCATGTTTTAGGTTGTGGTGTGAGCGCGTTATAAACTGATCGCTGGTTGGCTACTTATCTAATAAATGGCCGTATGTTAACATATTATTGCGTTTCGCAGATACAATAATAACCACCCAGAGGCACCTATCGACACAGACGAACTCTTGAGTCATATAGCACTTAGCACACTGCATGCACAAAAGAGTCAGACTACAATTCCCTGGCAGGCTAAAATATTTTCACTCAAATTGGCAGTTAAAACAAGCGATACAGTCATTCTGGAAATAGTCCAAGGATACAAGCTCCAGTTTTTGGGACATCCGATTCAAAAGTCAAACCCAAAACAACTACACGTCCCCAAAAAAGATGGGGGCTATCGTCTCGTTATAAATCTCAAGGAAGTAAATCATTTTTTATGATATCACCGTTTCAAAATGGAGGGATTAATTCGTTATCACCATTTCAAAATGGAGGGAATCGCTTCGCGACCTGCTACAACCGAAGGATTGGGTTGGCAAAAAAGATCTCAAAGACGCTATTTGTGATTCCAATCTGGAAAAACCATCAGAAATTCCTACACTTTCTCTGGATGGGATCCATGATGGAATTTGACTGCCTTCCATTCTGTCTAGCATGAGCCCCTCGTATTTTCACGAAATTAATGAAACCAGTCACTGCCCTCCTCCGGAGGGAGGGAATACGCCTCATAATCTACGATATATTATTTATGTCAACAAGTCAACAGGATTACATTTGCTAGAGAACCTAGGATTTGTAGTGAATCAGACAAAATCGATGTTCACCCCTTGACAAACCTTGGAGTTCCTGGAGTTTGAGATGAATGTGACCCTGAACATGACCCTGGTCTTACACCAAACCAAAATCATGTCAATACAAACAGTCTCTCTGCGCAGATGACTGAACAGAAAGAGATCACTGTCGAGACATTTCTTGATTAATAGAGAAGCTCACTGCTTCTATTCAAGCAGTCTTTCCTGCTTCATTACATTTTCGACATCTCCAGATTCATCCAGACTCATCCGTCTGAATAACAAAGCCCTTCAATCAGGGGGGGGGGACATGCGATTGCAAAATAACTCTCAAACAGGAATGTTACGAGGAACTTCAGTGGTGATTTGCCCATCTAGATGCTAACTTCTCCCACCCGATCTGATTGTTGAAACGGATGCTTCCATGTAGGGCTGGGGAGCCGTGTGCAATGGATTAAGGATTGGGGGACTTTGCATGGCCACAAACGGAACGGTTATGCCATGCACATCAACTGTCTAGAACTGTTATGGCAGGGGCCTTTGCTGTCAAAAGTTTTACGAAAAACAAGCTATATATATATACGTGTCCGTTTCATTAACAAACTTGGGGAGACCCACTCTCCAATTCTATCCAACCTAATGGCTCAATTGTGTAATTGGGCACTGTAGAATGCATGCCGAACATTTACTAGGGATATGAAACACACAGGCCGATCAGGAATCCAGGTATTACCACGATCCCAGCGACTGGAACTGAATCAATCTCGAGATTTTCTGTGCTCTAATAAAATTTCGGGGTCCTTGTCAGATAGATTTGTTTGCGAATCACCTAAACACCCAGCTTCCAAACTTTTTTCTGAAACCGGAACACCAGAGTCTAGCATCAGATGCTTTTCAACAAACATGGTCCCCAGGGAGACATTATGCATTCCTACCCTTTTGCCTAATTATGAAAACAATAGACAAAGTTCAGGAGGGGAGGGCGGGGACTGGTGGTAATTACTCCAGTTTGGCCGACATAGGCCTAATATCCAACAATTCTGGACATGTTGATATCTTTCCCAACCTTATCATAGGCCCTCCAGCAGTCCCAGCAGTCAATCGCAGCAGCATGAATTTCAGAAAAGGCTACCAAACTCATCTTGACATCTTAATTGGAGGCCAGGCACAAATGCAATACACTCAGCCTGGCTCAAATGGAATAGAGTGGTGTAGGGAACGAAAAATTAATTCACTTCATCCTTGTTTGAGCAGTGTTGTTCTAACTTCTAAAAACAGAGTTTGGGAGTCTTGTATAGCTTTAAACAAGCATTGTTATATCGAAGCTTTTGTGTTTGAAATATATATTTGAAGATTTTGCAAGGGTGCGAAGCGCCTGAAGTAAAGTGGAAATTATATGAGAACTCAAAACTAAGATATAACAATCCCTCCCAGCTCCTCCCTTATGTTTGAGTAGAATTACAGTTATTTGATTCAACCTTATAGGTAATGCCATCGATCCTTTTAGGCTTGATGCTCTCGCTCCTTAATGGGTTCGTTAGATCATGTTTTTGAATGTTCACGCTCAGTAGACTGTTTCTGAATTCTGTACACGTTTCATCGTTGAATGATGTACATGTTCTTGTTTTTGTTTTTATTGATGCATGCTCATCGTATTGGCCTTGCTGGTTCGAACTGACGAAGACTGCGTAAGATGGGGGATACTTTTTTTCCTTATATGGTTATTACTGTAAACTAGCTGTATTTTGCGAGCTTTATGCCTTATGAGGAATAAAGCATTTTTATATCTCACTTCTGTGTTCTCATATAATTTCGACTTTACTTCAGTGGCTTCGCGGCCTTGCAAAACGACCAGATATGCATGGTGTCCCTCAAAATCACCAACCACAACCTTTTAGCTCTTCCTGTTGCTTAAAGCCCTTGCTTCCTTGGTATGTCGTCAATGCTTTAATTTAAATTGGCAAAAAATTCTCTTCCGCGTTCCAACCACATTTACTTTTTTAAGGGTTAGTATGATTTATTATAGTTAATTTGATTAAAAGTCCGTGGTAATCTCAGTTCTCTAATCTTTCACCCGGTTTCACTGGATAAATTTGCAATAAATTGGCCCAATGCAACAAAGTTGAGACTTATCTGGTACTTCATTTCTTCAGTAAAATTAATATGCGAATGTATGTTCCAATTTACTGCCAATTTGGTGGAAATACATAAGAAATACTTAATGCCTCGTTGCCGCCTTTTGTTATGTTTTATCTTCGATATGCCTTAATATAGCTACTTATTGTTCATACAAAAATTAAAAAAAGCCTATATAGATATTATAGTAAAACCTCTCATTTGAACATGTCTCTGATTTTATCCAGTCCGTCAGGTTATACAAAGTAATATCAGTGCTAGCCGGCATGCTTTTAGTGATATTCAAAGCGGCAATCCAGGCACATTTAGATATTTTTGATGGCAAAAAATAGAAAATTGCGGAAGTGTACATTTATATAAGTAATAATTATAACAAACCGCTCGAAAAGGCGTTATTCCAATAATAAAAATAATAATCGATACATGATGATCTGGCGTACATTTAATAATTATGCTTAAATCTTGTCGTTCAACTATTTTTATTGATATATAATTATTCAATCCATGTGGACTAACTAATTTTCGTTTGCTAAATTATGAAAAACGATTTTAACCGATTCTTGCCAATTTATTGGGTTGTAAAGATAAATACGCAATGGTTGCAAATTCCAAATAAGAATTTGGGCAAATCTAATAATTTCTCGTGAGAAATGATGAAAAAATTCGCATTTCACTAGCTAAATTAACTTCATGCAATTTGATTGGACGTACGTTTTTTTTCGTGTGAAAAATTAGTATAGGTCATTTTGGCGGCAATTTGTTTACATTTTTTTCATGATGGCGTCAAAATATAGGAGTGAGATTCAAAACATAATTCTCAAATGCAACTGACATTTTCAGCACATTTTGAAATCGTAAGAAAAGAATATCTGACTTCTATTGAACAAAACTACAAAGAAACTGAACGGTAAAAAATATGTTTTGATGCATAAAATTTCGATTTTTGTTTCTCGCTCTGTTTTTGTATATTAAAGCGTGTCATTCGGTCGTTCAGTGACAAACTGATCTCTATAGATTTAATCTCGCTGTAAAGGATCGCAAAGCTACCCTAACTTGCTCGTTTTGCAATCATTCACAATAACTCGTGCATAATAAAAATCATACAAACAAGCCAACAATGAAGTGATCTTTATTTATTATGAAATAGCAGTAAAGATTATTATAAAAATCATATTAATTTAAAAATAAGTGAAGTAAACTCAACATGTTTTAACAATATATTTAAAAATATATTTATACAAAGATGATCATTTGAAATTTATTGTTTACAAAAAATTAGGTTTGGTTTATTTCCTGAACTACCATTAAAATCCACCTAAGTCTTAAACCCACTATATATGCATTCTATAGGTATGATAATAATTGTGATAATTGTAATATGATTAAATATTGTCCATAAAGTGACTGTGTAACCATTACCCATCAGTGCATGAACGGTATCCCAAAAAGTGCTTCTAAACAATCCACTAGTAGTTTGAGGCGCTGCCAGTCCATGGATCGGAACGTCTGAAGCCGGCCTTTTTTGGTCAGCATACATGTCAGCAAATCAACGTATGATTTTTTTCCATGGTGTTTCTGAATTACATGAACATGCCTTCCAGGAATGATGTTTGTCAAATCTAAAAAGTAAAATATATTTTTGTCCTATGATACCTAAATATCAATCACGTGATCTTTATTTGCGTGGTTTTTGCGCGAAACCATCAATCTTTAAATAAACCCAGTACCATATTAGAAATATATATTGTATCAGAGAGAGAGTGATATATTAATCGGCAATTTACCATGAAAAGTCCATAGATAAAAATAGTGGTAAATTGTTTTCCCTTGCTGAAAACTGTGAAAAAATACGGGTAACGTGAATATTTGCGGTTTTGGCCTAGAGAGACATTAGCATTGCTCCCATGGGCTTACAGGAGCATCTATTTTTTGGGCGATAGCTTACTTAGCAAAAAAAACAACAACATCGCCTCCAACTGGCAAAAAATGATTAAACCCTTTTTTAGTAAAATCTGAGGTGTCCTTGCGCTTGTTTTAGACTTTTACTCTTGCTCATGCAGATGGCCTTGTTTATAAAAACCGGCGTTGTTTTGCCGGTGCTGTAATTTCAACTGTTGCCCTTCGTTGAAGTCTTTTTAGAGATCACTGGCAGCAAATCAACTAAAGCCAATTCAATGACAAACCCAACCCACACCCAGGGTTGCCCATTTCATTGTGATCGAGAACTGATTTAAATATTCGACTAAAACACGTGACATGTAAAAACTTCAGGATGTAAACATCCGGTAGAGTTTCCAGTGAGCTTGGAGTAGGAAATTCCGTCATTTGTCGTAGCAAATATGCGAAGCCGAAGATGGCGGAAATTAGACAAGCTACAGTATCATCATAGTAAGTACTACAGCCTTCAATCATCGTGCATGAATGGTCGCAAGCGACTAGACAGCGACCAACCGCCATCCTAACGCTCCCCCAAATCTCTGTAATTTTCCTGCCCAAAAAATCCCAATGGCTGCCACCAGTCTAGCCCTCCAATTATTTAATTTTCTATTGAATCAGCGAACTTATTTGAGCTGTTATTGCGTAAATGTATGCGCAGCGAAAAATTGAAATTCTAAAAACAATACATAATAATATATATTCCAATTGCAACAATTTCGTCTTAAAATATCATTGAGCAATTAATTAATACTGTTTCAGACTGTTTAATTCAATTAAGACTGTTAATTCAATCGCAGTATAGGTCCAGGGGCCGGTTGTATAAAAACGTAGTTAACTTTTAACTATAGTTAGTGACAGAATTGACCAATCAGAGTCATGTATTTCTGAGTTAACTACGATTTAACTACGCAAAATGTAGTTACGAGTTTTATACAACCAGCCCCAGGTGGTTGATGGATATTGTATTTCTACGTGTTTCCTGTCGACAATATATGTCCGAATTAAATACGGAAAAAAATGACAAATGGCCATCGAGATTATTTCTCATCAGTGAAAATGACTTACCGGGCTTCACTGGCGCAAGTTATATCAAGTCGAAATGTCATTGATATAAGATATTGCTTTTTTAGCTATTTTCAAGGCACCAAGCTCTCTCATTTGCTGGCTCCGACAACAAGAAAAATGTGTATATGTGTTCATTTCGAGGCTAAGACTTACCTCTCATTGCAATATTTCGCATTTTGTGAAATCCAAACGATTTATATTGAAAACTAAATACGGTTTCTTCGCAATTCAACAAGAGAGTGCCTTTTATCCATTCTAACGAACCTATAGATGTACCAGATTGACTTGACAGCATCCAGATTTCTACTCCTTGCTTTAGAAATTCCACCAATCGTTCTTGACGCTTTGATCTTACTGCCTGGAATTTATTGTATGAAAATTTTGACAGATAGTTCATTGCTGCTGTAGTCATCATGATGAATCCACAAATTTCCGCGCGAGTCTCCTCGCTTAGCTCTAGATGACGTCCAGAAACGTAGAGCAAATCCATTCTCTCAACTAACGTTCCCCATATCGCTGGTGTGGAGAGAGAGAATGAGTTTGTTTCATCACAGCTTATGTATGTTAATGTCCCTTCGTAGCATATCTTTAAAATAATAAGAAAAAAAAACATACTTATGGACTTTTAACACATGAAATTGCCAGACTCAACACAAATCATCGTGCAAAAATCTTACGCGGTATAACTTGCGCGAATGTATAACTTACGCAGCTTGGCCCAATATGTGAGCTAAAAATTATATTTTTATAAAATGTAGATGCAAATTACTCAATTTGTAATTTTGTTAAACTTCAAGATGTTGAAATTTAACATGCTTACGCTTACGCTTCGTATTTTGCAATGTACTCGAACAAACTCGATGATATTAAATTTTGGGTCTAACTTGAAATAAAAACTCAGCTTTGTCGCAATTTTCTATCCATATGAGCGCCAAATAAATTAGGATCCGCGAAGAAAAATACATTTAACCTTGCCTCCGTAGCCTCAGGAACGATTACCTTGCTCATTATTAGCGTAGAGAGGAGCCAAGAGGAGTAAAATTAATCCAGTATTTATATATCGTCTGTAATCTTGGGGAAAACTGCAATTTCATTGGCTAAGAGGGGCGCTAATGAAAATTCTATTATCTGGTTTTAATCAAGTTCCCATATTCTATTAACATTTCAATTTCTTGATGTTTTTATGTAACTAAAAAAGTGAAAAGATCTTAAGATAAAGTAAAACATTTACCTTGGAAGGTTGCCAATCCAAGTGAGTCTCAGCGGCAGATCTGAGTTCATACTGAAGTTTTTCTGCTTTTTCTTTCAAAGGAAACACAAGGTTTTCTTCGGCAGCTTGATTCTCTAACGCCGCAATGACTTTCACGTCGTCTTGTAATTCTCCATAGAAATTATTGAGGGTATCTTTATTTATACCCAGTTCAGCGAAGGCCATTTTTTCGATTAGTTTTCTTGTCTAGAAATCAAATTTGAAATCCAATAAAAAATGTGGTTGTTTTATTCAAAGTTTTTTTGTATGAACCAGTAAAAAGTTGGTCCAATAAATAGGTAACCGATTTTAAATTGTTTATATAGCTTTTATTGTCAAGGTATCCAAATTGTATACACCAATTTTTTTGGTGTATACAATTTGGATACCTTGACAATAAAAGCTATATCTCCACAATTTCAAATTCGACAAATGGAAAATCCCGTTTATTTGTTGCTGAAGGCCGCTATAATTGTGGTATATAGCACATTCTCACATACTCGTTTTTGCAGCCGGTCGACTCAAGAAAAAATTAGTAATGTATAGCAAAAGTGAATATAAACAATATGAATGATCGCATTTTACCACATATTTTTCAGTCAACTTCAACTTATGCTCGGCAAATTTTCTCACGAATTCGTTGGAGTTTGCCAAAGCTTTAGGGTGCCATCCGTACGTATCCACCATGCACACCATTGCGACAGTTTCATTATTTCTTTTTAGTTCACTCGCCATTTCGTAAGCCACCATGCCACCAAAGGAGTAGCCAGCTAAAAACATAATATCCTAGTTATATCCTAGTAATATCTAATATGGTTTGCGACTCGATAATTTCAATAATTTCTAAAACGTCTACGATCTATCTATAAAATAAACAGTCGTTATTCTATTTAGACTGAATGACGCCTACGTTTTGCATATATTCATAAATTATAGAGAACAATACAATAGCACAATGGCTATAATACTTTTCGTTTAATTCTCGCTAATAAAACTTTTCGTTTAATTCTCGCGTTCTTTATATATTTTTTGGAGAGAAAATATTCAGGATCGATTAGGGAGATATTTTTAATTATATTCAAAGTGTTCCGTTGCGACTCGTACTCGTACTCGTAGTGACTGCTAAAGCCCCCTTCTGACAGACTACGGCATTTTTAAAACTATTTTGCCTTCACTACGTGATTTAAAAAGCCACACGACTTGATATTTCTTGGAGTTTTTTTTAGAAAAAAAGCTGAGAGAACTGTTTTGATGACCGTAATTAATTCTTCGAAATGAAAAGTCTAATTATTTCCGAAAAACGTAACACGCTTTAAACACGCTTTTATTATAATGGACAAAAAGAAAATTTCCGAACAGTACATACCAAAATTAGTAAAATTGCCAAGTTTGGCTGCGAAATATTGTAAGGCGCGGAAAATATAGCCATGCGAATTTGGCAATTTTGTATACCTTTAACTTACGGGCGGACGTGTGTAATTAAATTAATTACACGCTTCCGGCCGTAGTAAAAAAGTATACAAAATTGCCAAATTCGCGTTGCTATATTTTCCGTACTAGTTGACATTTTGCAACCAAACCTGGCAATTATACTATCTTTGGTATGCTCTTTTTAGCTGTGGTGGTTTATTTCTTCCTGAATGCCTAGATAATAAGTTGGTCTATTACGCAATTGGTCCATTGGTGGCGAGGTTCGATTATCAGAACAGTTCCAGGTAGCGTAGCTAAAAACATGTTCGTTTTGCCCGACGATGGTGAATCTCGGAGCCGTAGCCAAGTCTAAATCTCCCTATATTGTTTATGAAAGGACGTCTTGTATGACAGTTGAGAACCCAACATAGAATTATAGGAAGTCTTTTATTATTATTTGCTTTCAGGTTCACGATGAAAATTTTATCAAGATTGCTTCATAACTTTGTTAGTTATCTTTTCCCAAAATAAGGGGAATGAGAATTTTAGTTTGCTAAGAAAAGCGACGCCTACGTTTTACATATATTCATAAATTATAGAGGACAATACAATGGAACAATGAAACAATAAAATAACCAATGGATCCTTTCATTTGCTCGGAGAAAAACCCTAACTAATAAAACTTTTCGTTTAATCCTCGCGTTAATTATATATTTTTTGGATTCAGGATCGATTTAGGAGATATTTTAGTTTGCTTTTTTTTAAAAAAAGGATGCCTCGTGATTTTTAGTGTGGTAGACGATAACGCATATATTTTTAACCAAACAATATTCCTTTACCGTTTATTTTTAAAATTAAGGTGCAAAGATGGTGATCGATAGAGTCAACTTTAAAATGTTAACATTTTCCGTCTTTCAAACACCTTTTCTTCTGCGTGGAGTACCGTTGACAGGGAGTGTATCAGGTGTTACGCTGCGACCCGTAGTCGTACTCGTAGTCACTGCTAAAGCCTTCTTCTTACTGACTGACTACGGCATTTCAGTGTAAAAATATTGATATTTCTTGGGGGTCAGAGAAAACTGTTTTCATCACCGTAATTTTAAATTTATTTTTCAAAACGAAAAGTCTAATTATTTACGGAAAACTTAACAGTATAAACACGCTTTTATTATGGTTGGTGGCGAGGTTTAATTATCAGAATGGTACCAGGCAGCATATCCAAAAAAATGTGCGTTTTGCTCGACGATGGTGAATCTCGTAGCCGTAAATCTAAATCTCCCTATATTGTTTATGATAAGGCGTCTAGCATGCATGACAGTTGAGAACCCAACACTGAATTACAAAAAGTCTTTTGTTATTTGTTTTGCTACAATGCTTAATATAAATATCCATACCAAGATAAAATGGACCGCTTGGCTGTATTTTTCTGATTAAATCTACATATCTTCGGGCGAGTGTCAGCACTGTTCCATAGTCACTCTTCTCAATCGACGTGTCATCTACTCCAATACCATACAATGCAATCTTGGCCTGTAACAGAAAGTTGAACAAATGATAACCTCTGGAAGCATGGAATAGAAGAAAATTAAATCAGCTCTCTTGTACAACAAAGTGTATGAATATCATATGTCTCTCTCGATAAACAAGAGCATTGCCACACCTAGTCTCACGCCTTATTTGTCAAACGATCTTTAAGGCGATTGAGTAGCGCGGAAAAAAGAGAAAGTGCGATCTGTCCTCGTTTTGAAAGTTCTTCTTGTGCTCTTCCTGTGTGTATATTTTATGTTAAAACAACAAGTTTTCACCTGTTTTTGGAAACCTTGTGCAAATGATGCCAAAGCAAGGGCTGATTTGGGGCTACCATGAACCATGAACACTTTCACAAACACACTTTCTGATGTATAGAGAGGAATTACTTTCTCGGGGTTGTCAACGGATTGCAATTCAACTCCATCTTCACTTTCTTCATTCTCAGCGTTGTAAACGGGGAAAACATTAGATAAGAGAACATTTTTATCTGCAGAAGCGCCCTTCTCTCTGTCAACAGGCAAACTATTTGTTCTGCTTTGGTTAGCTTTTTGTGAAGATTCACCCTTCACACTCGTGGTGTTGATGTTCTCGATTTGTTCCAGAATATCATTGACGATTGTTAGGCCGCTCACATTTGGTTGAATAAAATAGTACGTCTAAATGTCAAGAAAAATTGAAATCTTTATAAATACAAATCTGTACCGGATAAGTGCAGTCATCATCAGATGAACTTGGCAATGCACGAGATCTTGCTGACTTATAAATATTACAAACGTACCTCAAACGTGGCACCAATGCTGTTTTTAATTTGAAGTCTCATATTTGTTGCAACAATTGAATCGATGCCATACTTGTAAAGACCGATGTTTAAATTCAATTCGGAGGCTTCACTTCCCGACCAAGAGCTGAGGAGGCGTTTAACAAAATCTTGAACGTAGTTAACTCTGAAGTCTAACGGTTGTAGCGCTAGGTTTTCCAACTTCATAATATCGTCAGTAACAACAATCGTTTCATCTCGTTTCAATTGCAATCTCGAAGAAGTATGCCCTTTAAGATAGATTTGCCAATCCACAGGACATACACAGACTTGAGCTTCTTTAAAATTTTTAAGCATGATGGATTTCAGAAATTCAATTCCTATAATTATATAAAAGGGAAAATACGTGTATAATGTTGGATTAACTTAAATAGCTAAGTGGACAAGGGGCTATGCTGAGTAGCACAAAAGTTTTAAGTTGGAACTTGGAAAAACAGCGGTGAATTTGTGTAGGTAACGAGCTATGCGATGTCTAGTATAATTCGGGATTAGGTCTAATAGTACGAATGAATTCAAACATCGCGAGTATACTATTATTTCAAATTGTATATGAGCATCATCGCAGTATAATTGTTAATGGACCTTGGGCTATAGCTTTTTTTATCTAGGCGATGAAGTGGAAATTTTTCGGAATCGGAATATTCAAATTAGTAAATACCAAGTTTGGCTGTGAAATGTTATAAATGTTGAAAATATAGCCTGAAAATTAGCAAACATAACTTGGTATATTTTTGTATTACGGCCGGAAGTGTTTTTAACTAGCTAACTTAGCAGCGATATTATCCAGACTTCATATGTATTAAATAAAGAAGATTATATGGTTGCGCAGAAATATGGAATTTATTTCGAGTGTTGAGACAATATTGCTTACGAGTGTGAGCAATATTCTCTTAATTGAGCAATATTCAATACGATAAATAAATCTATTTTTCCAAGCCACCATGTACTATTCTGTTTATTATAACTGCAAATTATGCTTAACAGGGGTGGATCCAGCCCTAGTGCACTAATTTGCATTACAAAACAAAATGGCTATTTTGAGCAGTTTTCTTGTGTTATCCAAATTAGTGCACTAGTGCTGGATCCACCCATGATGCTTAAACGACAACTCTTAGTAACTCAAAATGAAATAATTTTTTATGTATTGAAGGGCACACATTTAAAATAACAATGTTCAATAAAATGCGCTTATAGTTTTAGTCTCTTGAACCGTGTACATATACTGTGTATAAATATGGTATGAGATAAAAAACGAACGGAAACTGTGAGCTACAAAGATTTTTTTAATTGGTCAAACATGTTCATAAGCTTGCGAAAATGATATTTTTACACGTAGAAATATCGTATTTTTACGTGTGTTTAAACACGATTTTTCTCAGTGGCGTGAAACTCTCAATATATAACAATCGTGTTCATATAATAAATATATTTTTACGGTGTAATATAGTTATTTATAGACATGATTGACATTATCTTAATTAGGGGACTTCGAGAGAAGAACAATAGAAAAGTGCGAGTATAACATAATTGTATCATATTCGGTTGAATAAAGAAATAAAAATATAAGCAAACATTACAAAGGCGACGAGTGAAAATACACCGGCAACAACAATAAACGTCCCGAGAAGTGGTCTACCACCATTTCCACCGTTCGATCCACATGGCGATCAAGCAACACTCAGTACTAGATGGCGAAAATGGTAGCGAAGATTTTACAATCTTCTGGTTAGTCTTCGAGAGGAAGACCCAAATGTTAAGCGAGCTCTACTTCTTACGTATATTGGTGAAGATGCCAACGATATTTTCGACATATTACCGAATACAGGAGAGGATTATGACACGGCAATCCAACGCCTAACTGAACATTTTGCGCCAACCGAAAACAAAACATGGCTATATTTGATTGCCGGCAAATAACGCAGCAAAGTGGCGAATCCATCGACGAATTCTACCGTAGGCTGAAAGAAAAGTCAAGTTTGTGTGCATTCCATGACGAAGATAATGAGAAAAAACGCAAATCATACACAAAACGACCGATAGCCGTTTGCGTTGCAAAGCCCTTCGCGAACAACTCAGCTTGAAGGATACTATCAAATACGCAAAAACTTTGGAGCAATCAGATGTCGTTGCTCAGAAGTTAGAGAAAAATGAACAGCCACAAAATGATGTCGCAAATCAAATCAACAAAAGAAACAGACAACGACAAAACGACCGAGGAAATCGACATAACATGGAATTTCACAACGGGAACAAGAGTAAACAAACATGCAGAAATTGTGGAGGAGCGTATCCCCATCGTAACGGCAAAACAAGCTGTCCCGCTCACGGAAAGGAATGCCATAAATGTGGCAAAATCGGACATTTTGCGAAACACTGCCTCTCTAAGTCACAGCCAGCAACGAGAAACAAAGTAAACAAGAACCAGGCAAATAACATCGTTTCGGATCCATTTCTGGAAACAAGCGACACGGACGATGAATTCACATTTAACGTTTATGACAAGAAGCAGCCACAAGTCACAGTTTCCATCGCTAATATTCCTATTCGTGTCCTTATCGACTCAAGATCAACTGTAAATATCATCAATGAAGGAACATTTGAAGTTTTCAAGCAACATCGCAACGTAAAACTGGTGAAATCAAGTGCTAAAATTTACCCATACGGCACAAACAAACCACTGCCAGTCATAGGGCAATTCACGGCTACCATAGTCCATGATTCAACGTCAGTGACGGCAACATTTCAAGTCATCAGGGGATCAACGAAATGTTTACTGAGCCATAATACATCAACTATTCTCGGACTATTGAAAACATTTGTTAACAACTTAAATGCTCAACACCCCGATCCAAAGATACAACAAATCCTCAGCAATCACAAATCATTGTTCCAAGGCATCGGAAAGCTCAAAGGCAAAGAAGTAAAGTTAGAAATCGATGAAACGGTTGTTCCAGTAGCTCAGCGTGCGCGGAGAATACCCCATAGCATGAAATCGAAAGTGAATGAGAAGCTTAAAGAAATGCTTGAGCAGGACATTATCGAGAAAGCACAAGGTGCAACGCCGTGGCTTTCACCGCTCATTGCAGTTCCAAAAAAATCAGGCGATGTTCGTCTAGTTTTGGACATGCGAGTCCCAAATCAAGCTTTAAAACGACGACGTGTACAAATGCCGACAGTTGATGATATTCTAAATAAAATGCAAGGAGCAAAGGTCTTCACCGAAGTCGACCTTTCTCAGGGATATTTGCAAATTCCATTGGCCCCTGAATCCCGGTATATCACAGCCTTCCCAACCCCAGACAATGGACCACATCGGTTTAAAAGGCTAATCATGGGAGCGTGTCTATCCGGGGAATATTTTCACGAGGAAATACACAATATCATTAGAGACGTACCGAACTGTGCAAGTATATCTGATAATATCTGGCTATGGTCTGAAAACGAGACCCAACACTTGAAAGATCTCGACAACCTGTTAACAACCCTTGAAACAAGTGGCCTCACCCTACGTAAAGAAAAATGTTCGTTCGCTGTCCCACAAATTAATGTTTTTGGACACATCGTATCAAGCAAAGGCATACAACCAGACGACGCCAAGACGTCGTTACATCGACAACTACAGCAGTATAACGTACCCCCTACGTCAGCTAACAAAAGCAAATTCCCAGTTTCAGTGGACTAAACATCATCAGAACGCCTTCGACAAGTTGAAGACATCACTCAGCAGCTCTCCCGTTCTGGCCCATTACAATCTAGCATCACCTACCCGAGTAGTAACTGATGCATCGCCTTGGGCTGTTGGAGCAGTACTCCTCCAGCAACAGTCTGACATGTCTTACCACCCAGTAGCTTACGCCAGCAGATCACTAACCGACACAGAAATGAAATATGCCCAAATCGAGCGCGAAGCTCTCGCAATAGTTTTTGGTTGCGAGCATTTTCACACCTATTTATATGGACGAACGTTCGAATTAGAGACTGATCATCGACCTTTAGAGTATCTATTCCAACCCAAAGTCCATCCCACTGGCAAACCACCCCCAGCTAGAATTGAACGCTGGATTCTACGCCTTCAAGAATACGATTTTACAGTCGTTTATCTACCAGGAGTGACAAACCTGGCGGATCCATTGTCAAGACTCCCACTACCAACTACAACACGCAGTAATATGGAATCATGCGCTGACCGATATGTCTGCAACCTGCTGCAACAAATGACACCATGTGCTATGGACACAGAAGAAATTAGACAAGTTTCCCTAGAGGACCAAGAAATATGCCGAATCAACCAGGCATTGGCAACCAACCAACTCCAGCTACTACCCAAACCATTCCAAAACATATCGGACGAGTTATCCGCTACAAATGGTGTACTATTTCGTGGAAATCGAATTGTACTTCCCAGGAGCCTCCGAAAACAAGCAATCCTCCTAGCCCATGAAGACCACGCTGGAATAACACGCACAAAACAACGCCTTCGCTCCAAGCTGTGGTGGCCAAAAATGGATGCGGAAGTGGAAGAACACATCAACAAATGTCACGCATGCCAAGTCACGGGTAGTCCCTCTCGTCCGGAACCGGTCAAGCCTACAGAGCTCCCCAGTGAAAGATGGTCGTCTTTAGCCATAGACGTCTGTGGACCCTTCCCATCTGGTGAATACGTAGTCACACTCATCGATTACTATTCTCGTTGGCCAGAAGCCAAAGTCATGAAGTCCATAACATCACGAAACATCCTGGCGTGGCTCGACGACGTTTTCGCAACCCACGGATACCCCAAGCAGATCAAATCCGACAACGCTTCTTACTTTATATCATGCGAATTCTACACAACATTGAAATCGTGGGGTGCTACCGTCAAGTATGTTACAGAATACTGGCCTCAAGCAAACGGACTCATAGAACGTTTCAACAGAGTTTTCTTGAAACACGTCCAAACGGCGCTAGTCGAAGGGAAAGATTGGAAAGCAACACTTCCAACATTACTTAGAAACTACCGTGCCACTCCTCACGGATCCACTGGAGAAACACCATCGCAACTGCTAATGCAGCGAGAGTTGAAAACTAAACTACCATCGACATCCCAAGTGATAAATTTACCACAATTTAACGACTTGGAAGTTCGACACACGGATGCGCAGTCGAAGAAAAAGGGGAAGGAATACGCGGATGCGCGGCGAAATGCCAAGGAGAAGAAGATTAAATCAGGAGACTATGTTCTAGTTCAACAGAAACATCGAGACAAATTCACAACCAACTTTCAAACAGAGCGAGTAAAAGTCATTAAGGTTAACGGATCGCAGATCGTGTTCAAAGACAAAGACGGAATAGTTCACCGAAGAAACTCGGCACATGTAAAGAAAGTCCAACACGAAGATCAAACTGATGAAGAAATTGACGACGACATGGTACAAACATCAGCACAACATCAACGCGAACCAGTAGAAGAAATACCACCACCTATCCCACCGAGAAGATCAACTCGTAATCGAAAAGCGCCGGAGTTTTACCAATCTGGCTACAGTTAAGAAAAACACTAAACGATTGAACAACAAACGTTAATGCAAGAACTAGAAAGGGAGGAATGTAATATAGTTATTTATAGACATGATTGACATTATCTTAATTAGGGGACTTCGAGAGAAGAACAATAGAAAAGTGCGAGTATAACATTATTGTATCATATTCGGTTGAACAAAGAAATAAAAATAAGCAAACATTACATACGGCAATTAAACTTAATAGTTAACATTCACCGAAGGCGTTAAACGAACGCAACGTCTCATTACTGAACGAAACAATCGTTAAAATACAGTTTCCCATCGGCTAAAAGCGCTGAATCCGTAGAATAGCAAATTGGACAAACGTTTAATAACGTTGGGCTTGATTTATTCGCACGAAAGTTGCCAGCTTGGAGAACTGAACGCTTGCTTGCTTACGCACGAAACGCGAACATGGAATTTCCTTGCAACAGATGTTATAACTCTGGACTTAAGGCATGCTACAAATTTTATATTTCACAACTCGGAGAAAAGGTATATAGCTTACTCACTAACTCTCTAAGATCGTCGTGCATTTAATCCACTGCGCACAATAAAATATTCGTCAGCTTTAGGGGTCGCGCGGTGCTCCTAGTTTCCATTATTTTTCCTGAAACTTTGACAGTTTATTAAAAACCTTTTCTATACCTTTAGACAGTTAAATGATATCTCAATTTCAGCTACACATTTTTGCGCGCAAGCCCTCTCAATATCAGTGAATAGGACCCCCCCCCGGTAACATAATTTTGTTTATGTAAAAACAAACTTGCCCTAGGTATACCAGAAAAGTCTTAATTATCTCTAGAAACACAAAAATATGCCAAATTCTGAAAAACAACTTGAAAAACGGAAATTTTACATTTGCGACATTTTTTTATACACCCTGTATAGCTGACGAGCAAAAAACCATTAAGGCCAAAACTTTATCACTTTTTATGAAACACAATGGTCACAGTTAGCCTTACTAACACTGCATGCCATTTTTGTATTTAATTTAGTATATCCACCAAAGTGTTAATCATCTTCAGCTTTTATTTGTTATAATATATAAATAAAAATAAATTTGCATAGATTGCTTATTCATAAACTATAATATATACCCAATATACTTTTTGGGTGTAAAATAACCTCCATTTTTTGGAGGGTAAAAAAAAAATTGTTAAAGTCACCCCGAAAATTCGGGCAATATTTGAGACAAAAAAATTACCTCGCGTTTTGGGGTAAAATGTACATCCTATATATATATACCGTTACTCTACTGTGAGGGTAATATTTACCCCCTTCTCCTAAAGGAGTAAAAAATACCCCTAAAATACGGACGGTTTGGGGGACAAGTGAGAACTTTACTGTGCAACATGATAAAATAATGGTCCTTTCAGCACAACTGCGTGCAAACGAGCGATTGCGAGTCACTATAAGGAAAGTAAAAGGCAAGGGGCCGCTGTGTGCGTGGATTTCGTATAGTTAGCCACAATATACCTTTTGTATAGTGAAGGGGAAGCAATCCAGAAGTTTCCAGGATAGATGTAATGTCTGTATTTCTCTCCAATACCCCAGCACCACTGATCGGTCCCCAGTTAACCGACAAGGCAGGCAGCCCAAGCTTGTTTTGACGATATTCGCATAGTTGGTCCAAAAAGGAGTTAGCTGCAGCGTAAGATACTTGGCCAGCATTACCAAGAACTCCAGATATTGAGGAAAACATGATGAAGAAATCTAGATCCATCGATAGGCTGAATTCATGAAGGATAACACTTCCTATTTAGAACAAAGTAAATTTCTTAATAATCCAATAGACCCTTTTGATAATTACTTCATAATTTAGAAAGAAATTAATAACATTTTTTACTCTCATAAGCTATAGTCTAAGATGCAAAACATCTTTCCCGAACACGTACATGAGGAAGAATGTTAAATTTTCATTGATTAATCTGGAAATAAGTAGTAACTCGTGTGTCTGTCAATAGGACAAAATTATCGCAAGAGTTTGTAATGAATTCGAATATAGCGTAATGCAATGTCCACTGTGAACATGGCCAGAAATGTAGGTCAGTCAGAGCCTCGTACCCAGGCGCTTTAACAGTAAAATAACGTTGTATTCAGTTATTACTCCGGCGTGAGAGACGAAGTTGAAAATTCACCTGGGTTTTGTTTTGTTTTTGTTTTTTCTTATTATTTTTTGTCGTCGCAAGTGTGTTTTGTAGCGAAATATACTGGTATTTGATAAGTGTATGCATGTGACTGTATTTATCTATGTCACAGTTGTCTCCCATAAGCTGTGGTGGTATAGATATACTTTCCCATTAGGATGGCCATCATCAAAATATTTTTTCTCGGGAACATACTTGGGTTACATAGAAAGCAAATTTTAATGATTCCCCACTTTTTTCTTAGAGGCGCATATTGAATCCTAAATCCTAAGATTTTCAATTTTAAAAATCCGTCAACCGTCAAATCCGAAACGTAAAGGAATTCTTGTAACTGTTGTTAAAATTCCTTGATTGATCGGGTCGATCGAATATAGTTATAAAAATCAAGTTGAAAACGTTTATCTCAAAAAAATTCCACATATATCGCTAGCTTAACTACCCTTCTCTCAAAACACTCTTCTTAATCCAGTGTAATATATTTGGGAAACAGCGCATTGCCATTGGTCCAAAAATTCAAGTGACAGCTGTCCAACCTCCTCTGGAGTTAGTTTATAAGCAGACTACAATACCACAATAAGCAGAACACTTACCTTTTACCTTAGTACCCACAACCTCTCTGCATGTCTTCAAGTCGGCATTTTTTAGCAATTGATCTGCTAATACCATGGCAGTAAAAACAATTCCGGCTGTCGCAGGCAAACTTTCTAGTTCACTCCTTATTACATTCATTTCTTCCAAAGATGTTACGTCTGCTTGTCGTAAAAAAATTCGAGATCCAGTTTTTTTCTCCAAAAGTTTGACCTCCTCTTTCTTTTCCTCGCATGGTGCTGAGCGAGCCGTACACATGACTGTTTTTGCTCCATTTCAACCATCCATCTCGCGACTTCGAAACCAAAACCACGAACACCACCAATAACAAGGTAAGTGCGATCATCTTTCAAACCGTTGTCGTCAAGAGGTAGACTGTAAAAATCAACTTGATCAGGAGGATACTTAGGCTTCAGAGATATTGTATTTAAACAAAACTCTTTCTTTGTTTCAACATCAGGCGTTTTTTCCGTGCATCGCTTGTTGGATTCATTGCGGAACCCGATGATATCGTATATGCTGGATGCGTGTTGTAGTATATTCAAAAGGTTGTTCCAATGGCCTTTCGATTTCAAGACTGAACAGCACAAATCCAATAACTCTGAAAAATCCTTAGAGTTTTCCGTGATGTCTTGTAAACTCGTTAAAACCAAGAAGACATCCTTCATGTAAATCCATGGGTTGAACCTGACCGTTTCTTCTCCATTGAGAGTAATTGCAATCACAGTAGCCCCTGATTTAAGACGTTTCAGTATTTGGCGTGTGACATAAGAACTGGTCCTACCGAGAAAGCATACGGCATCTAATTCGTCATAACAAACATCTTTTGGGTCAGCCCTCGTTAATTCCTCTTCAGTCACAACCAAGAACATACCAAATTTCATCATCCGGGTTTTACTTGCCTGATTGTCCACAAGACACACGACATTTTTATCCATGGATACGGCAACGGAAGCGAAGATGAAACACACTTCTTCACTTTGATGATAGACAAGGACTTTTCTCTTACCCTCTAGATCACCAAGAAGATTTGCGAGAATGTGGTAGGACATTACCATTGGAAATCCAATGGACGCAGCTTGTTGCGCTGTGAAATCGACTTTCATCTCGGCGAAACAGCATTTTTCCGCAGCAACAAAACTTCCAAGATCACCAACTTTGCAAACACCCACCACAAAGGAATCAGTTTCTTCGTGTCCATTGTATATTTTACCGGCTATTGAAATACAATCGTTCCTCTTCATATCTCGCCAATGCTTGTGTAAGATAGGACAGGCATAGTGAATTTCAATTTCCTTCTTTTCTTTAACTCGTTCGTTCGTTACTTTTTGTGGGAACCACTGACCTGACATACTTGCCAATTTTATAGGCTTACGTGTCCCGTCTTTCCAGAGAGGCGATTCTTTTTTTGCAAGCGTAGAATCATCAAGGACAAGCTTTTTGATACGATTGACATACCGTCCACCACCTCGATAAACAATTTCTTCTTCCAACACATGTTTTTCAACGTCTTGTAGCATTGCATGAAAATCTTCTTCGCTAGGGTCGGTTGGCAAGTCGATCACTGAGGCACTGGGGATTGTGAATTCTTCGGAGAAGGTTCTTCTAAATCCAAACACAGAAGCACCCCATGGAAAATTTTCATTCTGATTTTCTTGGATTTGAGGAATTGAAACCACTCCTGAAGTGACAAAAACGAGCTGAATCTTCCCGAGAAAGCCTTCTCTTTTTAAAATCTCTTGAGAAACTGTAAGACAAGTTTCGAACGTAAGGCTGTGGACAATATGAAAATTTTGTGCATCAGCATCAAACATGCGGGCATCGACAGGCCAGAAATTGATCACCAGCAACTTTTCATTGCCTTTTATTTTTCTCAATACTTTATCTATTGCTTGAGAAACTTCGTCACGAGTTGAATCAGTCGTGTCTTTTACATCAACAAAATTTACACTTTCGCATTGGGGAATATGCTGTGCAAATCGTTCTGCAAACTTGCTTTGGTCTCTTAGAATAAGCCACACATTATCCTGACTAGCCTCTGATGAGTCAGTCGCCAGCTGCTGCCAACCAATAGTGAATACTGCTTCATCAAATGTTGTCTTCACTTTGTCTGATAAAATTTCTGTTGTTATGAACTTGTCAATAATCATCACAGCTTGACCATAATAATCCATAAGAGTAATGCTGTAAGTGGGTGCTTCTTTAGATTCTATTTTCTTTACGTGAGCATGAAACAGTTGAGTGCACGGG